CTACTGTACAGCAGAGCGACATCCACTTACCGCTTTTTTTTTTAAATTTTTGCTTAAATATGCAATATATAAATACATTTTGAATATCGTACAAATATGCAAAAAGCAAAAATATTCAATTCCATTGAATATGCAAAAAAAAATTGTTTCTGTCAGATATCGTTTCCGCCAAAATTATGAAAGTTTTGATTACCTACTTATAATAGTTCTACGATAGTATATTATGTACAATTTTGAATTTTCTAATAATAACCATAAATTATATGTTCTTATAATTTATTATAATAATTAATTTTAATTTATGATTTATTTAAATGCTGTAAAATAAACATTTAAATATAAAATGTCAACATCTTTAGATAATATTATTTTTACCGTCAGCATTTCCGTTACTTTTAGCATATGACTGTAACAATATGATAATAAATTCTTATATATACGTAGGTACCTACCATATAAATAACAAACACCAAAACACTATAATGATATGGGGGGGAATATCACAATAAACACACGATCTTAGAATAAATTAACCAATAATAATATGTGACGATCTATACAATTATAATGTTATTATATTATAATGTATAAATGTATAATGTTATCGGTAGAAAAATTTAAAAAAAGTGAAAAAAAAAATTATAAGATTGATTATTACTAGATAGTAGATTATCGACTGAAATAAAAACATAAAAATAATGATAATTTATAATTCTAAGTTATAATAGAACATATTATAATAAAACCACCTACAGAGTGGTACGAGTTGTGTTTACGAAATTAGGTTAGGAGATTTTTTATTCACTGAATATTATTTTGGTCTGGCATTTTTTAAGACTTGCACTTATTTGAATGTTATCGGGATTGTCGTTATACTGGATTTGCAATAGTCATAGGCGCAAATCGACTAAATTTTTTGGGAGGACTCAAGCCCCCCCTCCCCATAGGCCATATTGCTTAGTACCACAGAATATAAAAATTAGTACTAATTACTAGATTTTGAACTGGGGGGACTTGACCAACATTTGGGGGGACTAAGTTAAAACGTAATGCTTTTAGAACAAATTTACAAATTAATATAGCTTAACAATTACAGATTATATAAGGCCAATTTCATAGTGCATACAGCATAGGTTTTTTTGTAACTCTGTAAAATTATCTACCCATATTTGTTTTTGTGTAATTCCTAATAAATATTAAAATGGCCCCCACCGGCTAGGCTAAAATTTAATATTTTAATGTCATACGCACACGAGTTTGTGGTGGCACGTACAACGTACTATCTCGTTTGTATTAACTAGGGCTCTAGGCAATAGGCAGTTGTATTTATAATATGTAATAATATTTTAATTTACTGATTGGGTATCGCCGTATCTGTACAATATGTAAAATAATATTAATTGTAAGTTATTTATAACCGGGACGAGTCATACATATTACATACACGACACACCGTACAAACGTGAAACGAATCTGTGATTTTTTCCCCCTAGCAAAATATTAAAATAACGCTAACCTAATGGCCAAATCCCTATTTTCCATTTGTCGATATTTTAAGAAATTATCGATTTTCACAATGACAGATAACGCTTTCGACGACGATCATCACATTTGGAGAGGGGAGGGAATCGTGCATAATGCAATCAATTGTTCGGACAGTGGACAGTCTACAAATTTATTATAAATATTCATACTCATTACTCATACAGTCATACTGCAACCCGCAGCGCAGCCATCTTAGTATTTTAGTATTTTACCCATTTCAATTATTTTCCTATATTTTTTAATTCTCCATTCTTCAGAGTGCAGCCCGCAGTTCTGCACCATAGTAACTAATACCTATACAACCAGTTACCAGTTTACCAATTACCATCTATACTAGTTTATGCCGTTTATGGTCCGCAGTCACCTCTCGTATAGTATTGTCAGTATTGCGTCGGTACGTCACGGCCACACTGTCACAGGATATACTTGACCGGAGGGCTATTCAACTTATAAACGAACGGACATCATTATCCTGCTACACTGAAAGTTCTTGGTGAGTAGTGACTTGTGAGTACTGGTGTACTTAAAATATTTATAACATAGATATTATGTAGAATGTAGGTACCTATAAGTACAACATAATATTTTTAAATAATTCTTGAAAATACAAATTATGAATAAAATATTTTTTGCAATTATTATGATTCAGGACTTGGACACTTGGGTAGGTAAATTAAATAACATTCTCATTTAAATAAATAAATTTACATTATACCACCCCTGACACCGTCCCTACGAATTTTTATTTGTATTATTCTGGATTTACGAGTGATGTTTTAATTTCAAAAAAAAAAAAATACAACAAAATATATCTAGTTAAATATCTAGTTTTTATTTTTACAAATGGTGTTTTTAGTTATTTTTTATGACTTTTTAAATGTAATAATATAATTTAAGAATTTAAAGTCCAAAAAAATGAAGTGCATTTTAGACAATAATTGCATTAAAATATTTATACTGAATACATAGATACTTTACTAAATATTGAGGTATTTTGTTGTTATACCGGTCACCCTTTTTTGCAATTTTTTTTTTTGACGTACCTATCCCAGTAAACATAACACGTATAATCTACGTTTATAATAAGCATAATATTGGTATATAATTATACTTTGTTAATATATGTATATTATTAGCATAATATACGTTTATCGATGTTTATTTTTCGTGTAAGATAGGTAGAGCTATATTTGTTTACCCCACGTGGTGTATCTACGTTTATTTAACGTCTATAGTCCGTTTATAAATGGGTGGTCGAAGAAACGAGTATATAGGACGAAAAATATTCATTTAGTTTTCGTGTACTTTTGGTAGAGCAACATTCGTATACTTTACGTAGTGTATCTACGTTTACTTAACGACGACAGTAGGTACTTATAATTTTTTACATAGTTACCCATACAAGCGAAACTGCGAAACTCGATCAGCTGATTCGGTTAAATTTACGTTTACCTATTAATTATGATCTGAAGCCTTAGGAAACGAGCCCGTAAACCAAAAGATGTTAGATCCTTGTTTACCCATATTCAGAAAACGTTTACTTCCACGTAGGCGGGGTAAGCTACGCAGGGTCTGCTGGTTTACCCGGCCGGCTAAAGTACAACTTATTAAGGTGAAATATAAACTATAAACTATATGTATAACTAATATATACCCAAGGTGGTTTTATACAGCAAATCGGGGGATATTTTCGTTTTTAATTGTCCGAGTGAGTCGGTGACTCGGTGTAACAAAAATGCAATTTTCTTAATCCTGTGACCGCCACTGACCCACTTGGGGAGGAGTTGCATAGCAAATCGGGGGATATTTTCGTTTTTAATTGTCCGAGCGAGCGAGTGACCCCGCTGGGTGACTCGGTACAACAAAAATGCAATTTCCTTAACTCTGTGACTCACTTGGGGAGGTGTTGCATAGCAAATCGGGTGATGAATTATTATTGCACTATCGTTTTAAACAGGTTAGAATACGTAAGTACAAAAAAATAACAAAAATAGTCCTCCGCGTAGCATTATAGTAGTGTTGCATAAACGTCAAATCGCAAACTTTGGAAGGCCATAACTTCTAAAATAATAGTTTCCGGGAAAAAAAATTACACCATCGTTTTAAGCATAAAAAACCAAGTTTTTTGAATTGTCGATAAAGCAGATAACAATATGGTAATTAAGTAATAGAAATATAGATTTTTGAAGTGCAGTGCCATAACAATTTTTACATTACACTAACAATTGAACAGCTATGCAAAATAAATATATAAAAAACAATGTATATGAATATATATATAAATATACACAATCATGATATTTTATGCATATTACTCGATATTACTGCAGTAACTTGTGGTATTATATATTTATTATCTATTATTATTATTAATTTAAACTTTCTTTCACAAAATATCTCAATGACAGCATATGCAATATATATTGCCTCTATAATATCTATATCCCGCTGTTAAATAATTAATTTTCAAAATTTAAAGAAGAAGGTATTGGAATACTATACATTACCTCTAAATTCATGTCATACCTATTTTTATATAGGTACCTATATAGCTTGAAATATTATATGTATTAGATAGGTATATTATAATAGCTATCACAATAACAAAATCGTTAATGCTATTAAGTATATAACTACATACTAAATTATTAATACTCTATTTCCGACTATATATGTAAAGTGTTCTTCAATATAGTTATTATAAATTGTAATAATAGGTACTATTTAAAATGCCCATTAGGTACCCATATTAATAACTATATTATATGATTTATTTGTTATTAGAAAATGCCAAAATATGCATACAAACCAAGTTCTAGTTTATCTAAGCACACTAAAAGACGATGAGAAATAAAAAAGTCATTACTGAAAGCCACTGATGTTACTAATAGTTCAATTGTATTTGAGCATAATATATTTGAAGTAGATAGTACATCATTATCTCAATACAATCCTAATACAGTTGTAAATAAAAATTTGTATGAAAGAGTTGAGCCAGTAGATTTTATAAATTGCGAGATAAATTGTAATGTATTACAAGAATCCGAAAATAATTCTAATAAAATAGATCTTGACAAGTGTATTTCTGATAAACGGTCTTGTCAATCAAAATTAGCATCATTAGTCATTTCTTCTAGGCTTGCAAGAAATGATGCTACAGAATCATTAAAATTACTGAAATCAGTAGATAATTTAGAATGTTTAAAATCACTTCCGATGGATTCAAGAACATTATTGTCCACTCCTAGTTCCTACATCAAATAACATCAATATTATATCTGTTGGTGGTGGACGGTACATTCATTTTGGTATTGTACATGGATTAACTAATTTATATAATACTGAGCCAAATGTGAATCAATTATCTGTAATTGAATTATGGTTCAATATTGATGGATTACCAATAGATAAGAGAGGATCCTCATTTTTGCCAATATTGTGCGGTCTATGTATAAATGACTATAAAGCTTTTTATTGTTGGTTCATATTTTGGATTAAAAAAACCTTCCAGTATAAATGAATATTTATCTGAATTTTTTGAAGAACTTAATGAATTATTAACAAATGGCTTACAAATAATTGATTTAATTTTGAATGTCCACATTAAAGGTATAATTGATGATGCTCCTGCTCGTGCATTTATAAAACAAGTAAAGGGACATTCTGGGTACTTTGGGTGTGAAAAGTGTGAAGAAGAAGGTGAATATTGGGTGAATATGTAGTCAGCCGCCAGTTATACTAAAAACGAATATTTATAACTTTCGTTTACTGAGCTGTCTATTAAAATACTACTCGCTTAATTTACGTGAATAAATTAAAACTACTATCAAAATTAATGTTGAATTGTGTATGATTGAAGTTTTAAAATTGGGTTCTACCTATTTGTTTATTTCCAAGAAAGGTAATATTTTTTAATTTTTAATTTATTTTTGTATTACTGATAAAAATGAACAAGTATTTTTTATAAAATTTTGTTGGAAAATAATTTGTCAGGACAAGAATTGGGAAAATATTTTTCCTTAAGGTACGTTTTCCAAGGTGACATGTCGTCAATATCTATTTATAGGAAAATAGTATCAACTGTTTTGCAAAAATAGTTGTTGTTATAGATTTTAACATTATGGTAGAAGTAGCTATTTCTCATACTATAAGTATAGTATAGTTTTTTTTTTTTATAGTATTCTAGGTACCTACTGTATTCTAAACAGTGGCATGGTGAACGGGGTTTTATGACACCTAAACTTCATGGTGGACATTTTTTTGGTGGGGTGGGGTGATTGGACACTTTGGTAAGCAATAACCTAAAATAAAAATAAAAATATTTACAGTCACATAATAATTATTTTTATTACTACACGGGATACTTATACCTAAATCAATACAAGATAATAAATACATACAAAATAATTTAACTAATAGAGTGAATGGATGGATCCTAATTTGCTATCATTCCTTGTAATGGTTAAATTGCTAACATTTTGATCAAAGTATTAATAATTACCATTCATGTTTGCTAAAAACTTATACCCCCCCAAATAAAATGTCTAACTACACCATTGCTCTTGAGTACTCTATTGACCATCATGTAAAGTTGTATAGAGGTAAAGGATAGATGGATGGTTCATTTTTTAGTTCTAGTTTATATACTTACCTAATTTGTCAATTTTCACTGTACTTATTTTATTTTTGTAAACATTGTTTTTTGTTATTTTCAAAATAATAACAATTGCAATTAATTTTTGAAAAAGCAGTCCAGTTTTTATAATTTTTACAGTAAAAAATTATAGTTAAGACAATATTATGATTTATGAGTGACATTTTTTTATTTAATTATATACTGGCTCTAGTGTTAAATCTGGTTTAAGGAGGCAGGGGGGCATGGACCTGGGGATATCCAACAATAGTGGGCCCCTGACCGGTAATACGTTTCATATTATATACAGATTGTAATAGGAAGAACTGACAAAAAAAAAAAACAAAATGATGCTACTTAAACGTACTCATGACAAAATTTGTAAAATTATAATTTACGAAATATAATTATGGCAAGAAATTGCCAAAAATCGTATTTTAAAAATCTTATACTTATAAGTTATTAGTTATTACGTTCTAAATTAATTTACTAAAAAAAAAATGATATTTAAAAAATTCTAAAAAATAAACTACTTGACTTAAATGAATATTACCATCAAAATTGTTCTTATAGTCAGATTTACAAATTTTTTTTTATATTATACGCCTAACGCAAGTGTCTAAATTATATACAACAAAAAAATCTGTCAGGTCTTTCTGTTACAACTGTACCTATATGGATTTGATATATTATTATAATTTAGCCTCAGACCCAAAATTATCTTAATCCAGGCTTGTCTATAACATACCTACTACATACCTACTGTAAGGTGGCATTATAACACCATGTATTTGATACCTAGGTAATTACTAAATAGTCATATTCAGTCATATATTTTTTTTTGATTTCATATAGGATTTCATGATTATTATTCATTTGATTATTTTATTTTAAATTATGATAGAACCAAAAATTATAGTTTCTAGAATTATTTCTAAGCTACCTATATCTATTTCAAACTCGACTTACTAAAATATACTAAAATGGTATCATTAAAATGAAACAAGAAATAATAAAGTTGTTCATTAAAGATAATCTAATATCTATATACATATACTGTTTGTAATAATTTCACAACTAATTCATTATTGATACATTTGTAAATTAAATAATTTTACCTAGATAGGTATAATAACAATCATTTTAATCATAATTTATTATTTTTAGGTTTTGATAACTCCATCAAAATTTTACAATGGATTCGTTAATACAAACTATAAACAAGTTACAAGACGTGTTCGCTGTGATTGGTGAGCATAAAATCGATTTACCCCAAATTGTTGTCGTCGGATCCCAAAGTTCCGGAAAGAGTTCAGTTCTTGAGAGTTTGGTCGGTAGATCTTTCTTACCTCGAGGTACCGGCATCGTAACTCGTGCACCATTAATCCTTCAAATGATTAGGTACTCAAAAGAAGACCGAGATGCAATGTTGAAAATAACAAAAAATGATGATATTAAAGGCTGGGCAAGTTTTCTTCATAAACCTGGTACCATTTATCACAATTTTGATGACGTTAGATACGAAATAGAAAATCGGACCGATGCTCTGGCTGGTGCCAACAAAGGTATCACACATGAGCCCATTGTCTTAAAAGTTTTTACTCTTTTATATGATCTAACTTTTGTTGACTTGCCTGGGATTACCAAAGTACCTGTTGGCGATCAACCAGAAGATATTGATGAGCAGATCCAAGAACTTATTTTAAAATATGTGCAACAGCCAAATTCTATCATTTTAGCTGTTGTTACTGCAAATACAGACCCCTCTACATCAGAAAGTTTAAAAATAGCTAGAAAAATGGATCCGGAAGGGCAAAGGACAATTGCTGTTGTCACCAAGTTAGATCTTATTGATAAAGGTACATTACAAGATACAACAGATCTACTTTGTGGTCATAAAATTCCGGTAAAACTTGGTATTATTGGAGTGGTTAATAGAAGTCAGAAGGATATAAATGACAATAAATCAATGAAAGAAACATTAAAAAGTGAAAAAGATTTTTTAAGATCAAATTATCCTGATATCTATAAAAAGCATGGCAACAAAGTTTTGGCTAAAACTTTACAAGATATTCTAATTAAACATATCAAAAAAACCTATCCAATATTGCATAAAAACCTGCAAGACACTAAGACAAGACTTGAAAACGAGTTAAAAACATTGCAAACACCCGACAGTAAGGTGTCTTTTATATTAGGTTTATTAAAAGACATAAGCAAATCATATTGTGAAACAATAATGGGAAATAGAAGAGATGTTTCGGACAAAATAGTAATGGGTGGTGCGAGAATTGCACAAATTATAAATGAAGAATATTTGGAAAAAATTAACAATATTGATCCATTACACGATTTAACTGATGAACAAATTGGAATAATTTTATTAAATACTGCTGGAATAACTAGTAGTTCTTTTGTGAATGAAAAAGCATTAGAAAATATGATCTGCAGACAATTAAATAATCTCATAGATCCATCAATGTCTAGTGTGGACTTTGTACGTGTAGAAATGTTGAAGATTTTTGATTGCATAGACGAAAATATTTTGGAAACATTAAAAAGATTTCCCAAGATAAATTCTGATGTAAGTATTATTGTATTAAGTTAAACATGAATTGTTTAAAAAAAACAGATTTAGGGCCTGAACGAAAATATAGTTGTAGAAGAGTGTCCTTTTCATTCTTAATATATTTATATACCTACCTACTGTTACATAACCTACTAACCTAATCTAATGTAACATATTAATATTTTAAATTTATGTATAAAAATTTTTATTTTTGATTCAAAATTTTTGTTGTATTAAAGATGTGGTATCTAGTTAAAAGTAAAAAAAACAAATATAATAAACTTATACATTTGTAAAACTTTTTAGTTTTTTCCAATTCAAAATATATTGGAATGAATTAAAAATGTATAGTTTTGTTTTCAATTTCAATGATAATTGATAGTTAGAATTAAATTTTGAAAATAGGCACACAAGTAAATATAAATAAATAGGTACTTATAAATACAGTAGAAATTGGAAATTATTTAAACTTACTTAATATTTAACTGCAACATTAACAGAACAAAAGATTGATAGTATAACTATAATACCTATTTTGTTTAAAATAATTATTTATATTTGATTTCAGGTAAGAAATGTCCTTCACAAAATGTTGGATGACAAATTAACAAACATAAAAGAATTTATAAAGTCTTACATTGAGACATACCAAACTTGTTTAAACACAACCAATCCAAATTTTTTATTTCAATTGGTGAAATCATCTACCGAAATGCAAGAGTCATTTATTACATCATATATGGGCAATCCCAAAGGCGATTCGATAAAAATCAACGTGGATTCAGAGGATGAGGAAAACTTAAAATTACAACAATTTAAACAAATGTTATCTGGTTTAAATGATTTAGATACCACTATTGAAACATCAAAGCAAGTGAAAATCCACCGTTGCTTAACGCAGTGCTATTTTGATTTCATAAGAGAAATCATACGAGACTTTGTACCCAAGCGTATTCATCACAAAATGGTGAAATTAATTTTGGATGATTTTGAACATCATTTGGATGAATTCGTTTTTACTCCATATGTTTTAAACCGTTCATTTGATGAAGTACTTGTAGAAGAAGATGGTGTGATAGAAGATAGAAACAGGGTTGTGAAGTTGTTGGACGCTGTTAATCAAGCTTTAAAAAATATGGTTGATATTCAGTGTTATTGATGAGTTTAAATTTTTATTTATTTTTAAGTAATTTTAAATTGTATTATTATTTTACTAAAGGAACAATAGAAAATATTTTGTAATTTTGGGTTATTTTTTTAAAGTAATTTAAGATTTACTTTTAAAAATTTTTTATATTAATTAATTCATAATTTTTACTTTGGAATTTTAAATAAGTATTTTTTTTTTAAGTAATTTAAGATTTATTTTTAAAAATTTTTTATATTAATTAATTCATAATTTTTACTTTGGAATTTTAAATAAGTATTTTTTTTAAAATTAATTTTGTAATGTTAAAAAAAAATCAGTGTTCTTTTGTGATTAGTAACTGTTTTAATCTTTTGATATTATATCAATTGACAATTTTTAACTATAAAATTACCATGGTTTTTTTTACTACAATTACTATTTACTATGTATAATAACTATTAAATTAACCAATATTAAGAATTCTTAATTTTCAAATGTGATAATGTAATTAATCATCAATTTTTGTATTAATTATTATATTATTATTCATTTATATGTATTAAGAATTTGTATCTAAGCTGATAATTTAGTAAGCAGGTCACCAAAAAAATAAAAAGAGATTTCTAGAACTTCTTTTCAAAATGCTTTGTAACGATTAACGATAGGTAGTTAAAAACTCAAGAAAAATACAAATAAATAATATACATTTTTAAACGATATTAATTGTGGTTCAAAAGTGAAAAAAATTTAGGTATTTAAATTCTAAATATTTATATTTTCATATCTTCCCTCCCCTCTTATTATAGAAGTGAGGCTGTACTCCACTCTACACCATTCACCAATGATTATTTAAGTGAACTTCTATAAAACGATACTTCTCTAAACTCAAAACATAAAAATAGAAACTCAAAACTGAAATCGTTATACCTATTTAATAATACAAATTATATGTTGTATAGTATAATCAGAGCCGTAGCAATGTTCATTAGCGCTCCTGGCCATTTATCATATTTCCGCCCTTGTAAAATTTTTTTAACCTCCCCCCCACACACACACAAAAGACTTATGCATTTGTTAATTTTTTTTTAATAGTAAAAATTATAATATTAATAAAAAAAAACAATAGCAAACACTGCCAAACTTATTAAAACCTTATAAAATAATCAAAAAAAAATTATTTTTTACATTTATAAATTTCACTCTTCGTGCTTTTTTGGTAGTATATAATTAAATTCCACTTTAGAAGGTTTATATTTTTTTTTATTAAGAATATACTAGTACAGTAGTACGTATACCACACATGCGTTTGTTGTCTCCGTATTACAAACCTACGACATGGCAAATTTTCGTTCACTAGTTTCAATAATGTACTGTTAGTTTTTATATCAGAGTGACTGGTGATGGTCAATTATTAATATTTACTATGGACCTATTATTAAACTTTTATTTTAGAACATTAGCTGTGCTTAAGCGTCGGCTTTTATTCGATATTTAAATTTCCAAGCAAGATATGATATATCACAAATTAAAAATTCTCTTATCCCGCATGAAAATTAAAATATGGAATAAAAGCAGATGCTTAAGCACAGATAATGTTCTTAACTAAAAGTTTAATAACAGGTCAAAACACTCTAATATAAAAACTCACAGCACACTATTGTAACTAGTGAACGAATATTTGCTATATCGCTCCCATGTAAAACCGATAACAAAAGGATGGGTAACGTCCAGATATAATTTTAAAAAAATGAAATAAAATAAAATCGTTTAAAATGTAATTTAAGAAATAAATTTATATTTTCAATATGCTAAAATATTTTTTAGAAAAGAATATTTCTCAGACTCATTAAATTTATGTTTAATCATTAAACTGAATTAAAGATATTTTTTTATCGATATCACTATCAAGCTAGTTGTCCAAATTACTCTATAATAATAGTGATAAATATCTAACCTTAAATTATCAAAAACAGTCAGTAGGATTAAAACAAGTAAAATAAAATAGATACTTGGCGTGAACTGTGAAGATAATTTTTAAGACAATATTAGACTAATATTAATTATTATTTCTTTTTCTTAACTCAAAATAAGATTTAGAGGATTTTGATTCAAATTTGATCGATAAAAATCAACGAATATTAATAGTGATTTCTTGTATACCTACTAGATATTTAGTATTTACATTCTTATAAACAATTATTTTGTATAAACCTAGGTTACAACTTAATACTTATATTAATATATTATGAACTACAATTAAGTAAATATTAATTTAATTTTGTATAATTATAATTAATAATAATTAGGAATTCACTGAGAACTGTTGTAGAAGTTCTTCCTTTCACTGACACTGACTAATATAAAATGACTAAAAATATGACGACTGACGGGACTAAGGGAGTCTTTAAAATATAATAAATTTAGAATCCTAATTTTAACTTTAACATTCAGCTAATATTTAATAATAATGATCGATTTTCAAAACTACCATGTTGATAATTGACTTGCATGCCGAGATGGTTGTATGAGCAGCAGTTTAAAAACACAATATTATCGGCTACTAACTGTTCTTAAAATATCATTCCGGGCCTAATATTACGTAATATTATGACGAGTTATTATTCTTAAACACTTGTAAATGATAGGTAATTGTAATATTTGTATGATATACAATGCCTACACTATAAAATAGTATATAGTCACTAATCACAATAATGGATTTATAGTAATAAAACTATAGTGCATATTCTAGTAAAATGTAAATTATTAAGAATACCAATAAATAATAATGCCATATATAATATATATATATATTATAATATGGTATATTTTATTCTGGATTTCGCGCCCCTTTTTCGTTGCGCCCCTGGCCTGGGCCAGTCTCGCCAAGCCCTAGCTACAGCTCTGAGTATAATAATACTAGAAATTCCGCCATGCGTTGCCCGTGCCAAATATTGAAATATATAGTTCCAAAGTTTCTAAGTTATACCAAGTTTGTCGTTTTTACTTAATCCAACCTACTGAAGATAGGATCCAATGTGCCATAGCTTATGTTTAATGATTTTTGGGCGTGTTAAAATCTTTAAAGTAGAAAGCCATAATTCGATCGTCAGCTATAGATATTAATATAATATAGTCACGGTCACCTCAAGGCTAAACGGTTGTACGTGCAACTAAATCACATATAGGTAGGTAGTATGCCGTATGCAAGCAGTATATATTATTATCAGGATTAAATATAAAATTATAATAATTTCAATATTAAAACAATATAGTTAGACATTTGAAAAATAACTTATACATCTCTAAGAAAATACGAGTTAGAGCTATATTCCTACCTATGTTTTTCATCATTGCACAACTTTTAGATTCTGAGTGGAACGATGAATGTATTGATTTAACAATGATTTTACAATTTTTTTTTTTTTTCTGGCATCGCCTTTTAGGAGAGTAAAAGTTCTTGGATTGAGTTCAACAGTATCTTTTCTGATAGGAAAGTGAATCTAGTTGGTACTATGGGGGGTCAAAACTAAAAATTTCACAGTAATTTTCAAAAGCGCCTTGAAAAACAAAAGAAAAATTAAGGAAAAACAGGAATTTTTACTCAAAATCTGTTTTAGAGTAAATCGATTTTGGTTTTTGGTGCAACTCTTAAACAAATGACCTTAGGTAAGTACATACAATTTTGACTGAATGTTTATATTAGCATTTTCTGTACACCATAACATTTTCCAAATATTTTGAGCTATTTACGAACATTTTCATTGGTTATATATATCAATAAAATGTTATTTGTTTTGTACGAAATCTTGAAAATTTAATAGAAGGCTCCTAGTATATTGTTTCAAAGGCAGATGAAAAAAATTAAAAATCCAGTTACAATTTTTTTTTATAAGCATTTAAAGATCGGTATTGACAAAATACGTAAAAATTACGAACATTTAGAAATTATGTTGAGTTAGAAATTCATAAAAAATTTTCTTTTTAAATCTAAGGTTATAAAATGTAATACAAGATTCCTTATAAGATTATCTACCTTTATCAAAAAAAGAATGTCTATAAGAAGGTCAAATTAAATTTTTATGAGCGTTTGAAATTCAAATTTTTACAACATTGGATATTCACTCGATTTCTCATGTAGCGATTTCCTTATTTTGTTGTAATTCAAAAACGAATAACTGTAGATACATGAAAATTTCACTGAATGTTTAAATTAGCGTTTCCTATACACCATACAATTTTGAAAATATTTTGACTCTTTTTGAGCTATTTACGGACATTTACCGCTTTCAATTTTCTTTAGTTTTTTTTCTATAAATATCAATTAAGTTTTATCTGTTGGGCCAAAAAGTGTAAAAATTTAATACAAGGCTCCTGATATATTGTTACAATATCAGTTGAAAAATATTAAAAATACATATGCACAGTTTTTTTTTATAAGCATTTAAAATCGAATTTTGACAAAATTTATCAAATTTAAAATTGAATAATTATTTTGTAGTTAAAAATGTATAAAATGATCAACTTTATATCTAAGGATTGAAAGTTTATAATAAGATTCCACGTAAGTGGTTAATCCTGTTACCAAAAAATCTAAAAAATACATAAGCACAGTTTATTTTTATAGTCATTTTAAGTTCAAATTTGGACGAAATATCATAAAAAAACCTAGAATAACTATTTTAGTTATTTTGTTGTGATTGTATAATATTATTCGTGGGACTTGAAACTTCTAAATTACACTATTATATTTATATATCTATGATAGTATCAAGGTTGGTGTTTGATGTATAACGCGTTATAAGTACCTAATGGATATTTTGGTATGATTAATTTGGAATTTATTAAAAGTCAATTTTTTTAATACCATAGATAAGTTTATAATATGTCTTATACCTAGACTGACATACCATGTCCGCTCAGAATCGTTTTTCTTATACAATTATATTATATCATTGAATTCAAATTTAATACCATCCATTATACAGTGACCCACTTGTACAGCAGAGCGCCCTTTTCTTGTTAAAAGTTACATTTTATTGTAACACATTCAGCTTCCATTAGCTTTTCGATTATTTTGTGTGTATTTTTCAAAGAATTTTAGATCATCTACTTATAACGTTCTGGGGGGCGGTTTTGAAAGAGTGAGAGTGATTTAATGAGATGATATGACTTGAAACCGTGTGACTTAGGTGTTGTGGAAAAATGATAGTGGTGAGTGAGATGAAATGAATGCCGCGAGTAAAAGGGTGTTTTAAAATCGTGATATGGAATGATAATCATGGGTGAAATGAATGTAAATGGTGATATCAATGAAATGTACCAAAATAATTTTAATTATTCTCAATCATCTCACTTATTATAAGCCACCCGAGTAAAATGAAAACTATATGATAAACGTATAATTTTACTATTGAATATTTAATTTTTAAATAGGTTTACAAGGTAAACGTACTTACTACCTACTTTTTAGAATGGCTTTACTTTTTGGAATTCCTAATCCAAGACAGAGAAGAATACAATATAGACAACAAATGAGGTAAATACATAGACTGTATATTAAGGTCTATGGTGAAATACCTACCTACTATCACAGGCGCAAATAGGGGAGGGTTTAGGGGCTATACTTTCTGTAAATTATAATTCTATATTCATCTCGTATTTCCTAACTTCCATTCAGTCATTTAAATTTAAATTACTTATAATTTTTGTATACTTAACTTCTAAGAGATGCTGAAGACCCGTTCCTCATTAGTGATACCAAATTTATAAAGGACTTTCGATTATCAAAAGAATGTGTGCGTTATATTATAGCCAGAGTAAGGCCTCACATGACTATTAAAAAACGGCCAAATAGTTTATCTTTGACAAGAAGGGTTAGTACCGAATAACTTATAGTTAATTTGACAATAGTAAAATATGCGTTAATTGAATGTAACTTATAATTCCCTATAGGTACTCATTGCTATACATTTTTGTGCGGTGGGTAGCTATCAAACTGGTATTGGAGAAAACCCGTACATACTTGTTTCTAGGAGTATGGTATCTAAATGCCTAAAAGAATTTACGGACGTTATTGTAAACCATGTTGCCAATGAATGGATCATATTTCCAATAACTCCATTACAAATTGCCAGGAATAAGCGCCGGTTAGTACTGTGTTTAAAAAGAAAACCATATATCATGCTACTCAATAGTTTTCCTCTACAGGGAAAATCTATGAATCATATATAATATGTTTTTGTTAATAAGTTACTATGACAATAAAAACCTTACAGAAAATAAAAAGTATCCAGCCTAAAAACATATAATATATTATGTTAAAAAAAGTAGAGATACTAACCTCTTAAAACAATTGAATGTACTCTGTACCAGTGTCGGTCTGGCATACCAAAAACCTCTGGAACATTTATTTTCCAGGGCCTCATTCACATAAAATACCAAGGACTTGAAAACTAATTGAAATATAAAAAATATATTTTCCATTTGATAATAATTAATAAACATAAAAAAAATATTAATAAAATTGTACCTATATATGTATTAAATTGATATAAGTTTATATACATTTTAAGCTAAAAAACAGTATATATTATGATAGTAATGTTTTCATTCTTATAAATGTATTACCAAAGCTTAAAGTTATGACTGTATTAAACTAAATGAAGCTGAAAATGTTAAATAATTGGGTTTAAGTATCAATATATACTTTAAATGGGACCAACACATATACAAACTATTGCTAATACTTAGGAAGCTCGTTATAAATTCAAAACATTAAAATACATTGTAGATGCCAATTTAATTAGAACTATCTATTTTGCTATAGCCTAACCAATCTTCACCTATGTGGTGGTACTTATGAAATACATTTGGCTCCTCTGATTTCTACTTTAAATAATCTATTGAGATAAATTTTTGAGAAGACAAGGGTTTACCCAATTAATCTATTATATTATAAATTTGAAGTACCCACAGTGTCTAATTTATATTTCAAAAATATTCTACTACTTATATATAAATATAAACATATATTATGTAAATCTGATTCTAGATATAATACTAGGAACAACATTAACACTAATTTAAATAGCTATAATGTGTATAATACCACAGTTAAGTTAAATTTGTTTAAAAATTAAATTTTAATCACATACCTACCTAACTGTCTTATAAATGATATTCTTAGTTTCATTCAGTAGGTATACTAAATGTCTATACTTTATATAGTACATTATTGTTGAAAATTGTACTTAGATCTTACCCTTTTGGCACAAGCTTAGATTTTGAAATGGTATAAATATTCTTTTATTGTTTTATATACATTATAAATTTAAATAGATAAGTATGATAAAAAATAAATAAAAATTCATTTATTAAGTGTGTAAAATAAAAATCAAGTTTAAGTAGATTTATACTACAAAAAATAAAACAAATATATATACAATGTGTATTCCCTTTTTATAGTTGATTTGAATAATTTGCTATTGTTTCAAATATTTCAATTAGTTCTTCAATGTCAAACTATTTTTTTATGATGCATCAATCACATATTCACATAAATTGATTATTTTATTCTATAATTAATATTCAGAATTCGTTACTATTTTATTTCATAAGGTTTTTAGAAAAATTTAATATACCACATACAATTGGAGCAGTAGATGGCACACAAATAGCTATTACTCCACCTAATGAAATTGATGAATTATATCAAGAACATTTATATATTAATAGAAAACAGTATCATTCAATTAATTGTCAAATAGTAAGTAACTTAAGTATCCAAACTAATATGTACCCAAATCTAGAGAATTGTTAATACAACATTGTACGCAAATATTGTTCATAGGTAACAGATGCTGATTTAAAAATTTTATCAATTAATGCAAAGTTTCCAGGCCGTAGTCATGATGCATATGTATGGAAGAACTCTACAATTCGTTCTCATTTGTTAGAAACTAATGCTAAAAACACATTTCTCATTGGTAAGTTCAAAATGATCATAGTAGTATAGTATCTAAATTTAAAAAATGTTAATCACAATTTTTTATAGGTGACAGTGGTTATCCTTTGGAACCATGGTGCATAACTCCAATTTTGGGAAATCATCAAATTTATTCACCTGAACACCGGTTCAATAAAACTCACAAACGGGCCCGCTGTACAGTTGAAAGGTGCATAGGGGTTTTGAAACAACGTTGGAGATGCCTATTGAAGGATCGCACATTGCATTATAAACCTACAAGAGCTTCCAAGATAATTATAACGTGTGCTGTTTTACATAATGTGGCTATACATTATAATATTGGGCTGCCTGAATATGACAATGAAGAAGAAGAGGATGAATATGAAGAAAATCATGGACAAGAAGTTGAAGAGTTGTTAAATGCTGGACGACAGACGCGTCAAGAACTACTGAATCAGTTTTTTACACATTAATAAACAATGGTACACATATTTTAACATTAAATAAATGTATTCTTTGTATATCACATGAGATTTGCTGTTTTTCACCTATTATCAGTCTTATACATATATAGGTAACAGCTAGTATAGTAAGTAGTAGATACTAACAAAAACCATATTTGGTATTCTTAATAATCAAAAGGTACAATTGTATAGACTTAATTTACATTAAAATAAATTAAAAACAAAAACTAAAACAAAAAATAATTAAACCTCAAGATCTTTTCACAGTACATATTTATATGCTGCCACTAATAATAAATTTATATAACAAGATTAATGCCCATATGCATAATTAATTTATGTGTCACATTCATACAGACATAAACAACTTTTTAGTACATTGGAATAAAACATTTAATTTAAAAAAGTAATTTTGACATGGAAAAACTACTTTTTAGTATCTTTCCTTTTTTAAAAAACTATTCTATATCGTTTATGCCAATCACACTGACATCTTCATAGTCTATATTTGAGGAGTTGTGGGTTTGCTGGTACTTTTTAGAATATTTCCGCTATAAAATTATATTTCTTTCCCGTTCTATTGCATTTCTGTCTTCTAAAGCTAACGCTATGCGTTTCATTTGCACAGCTTGATTAATAGTGGCATCGGCTAAATTTTTCTGTTGCTTAATCATTTCTTCATAACCCGGTCCACTTTCAAAAGCTTCAGTGTATGTGCGTGAAGCTTTTTTTTTGGTGCAATATTTTGTTTTAAAGGAACCTTTTCATTTACAATTTTATCATCATCAATAAGACTATTATTTTCGTTACGTGTATTCCAGTTATACGATGGTTGAGTTTTATCAGGAGACACCGAGTTAATAGCCACAATAACTTCGGTTTGGTTGATACCTACCTCATGTACTTCTGGATCTCCACTAATCAGTACTTCCCCAATAATGTCAGCGATTTTACTTTCAAGTGGGGAAAGAATAATATTTGTTGGTTGATTTCCAGTCTTCAAGGAATCACGTTTTATTACAGCAGCTTTGTCTTTAATAGTCCTCTTAAGGTCATCCCAAGTCTAGAAAATTAATAACGTTTTTAATATTTTAATAGGTTGTACATATCGTAATAACCTTTATGATATACTTATTAAATTAGATATATTTCCATGAGGCTTACATTATGTAATACTTTGTTACAAATTGTACAATATTGTCATGTATTTTAAAAATCCATAGCATAACCTTAATATTCTCTTGTGTTATAACAATATCATCTTCAATTGCCTTACTGTACCATGTCACTTACTCACTTCCAAACCTGTGCAAGTTGGTCATTTTTTTTAATTAGTTAAAATTATGTTAATTTAACATAAAAACTACTAAGTCTCAATAAACCAACAGCAACACTCTTAGGCACAATTACAGTTTTTTACTTGGAAGGTCTTTACATATTTAAATGGAACCAACCCTTGGGGGACTCTGCCTGTTCAAACAACACCCCTTGTTCAAATACCTTTAAAATTTAAAATTTATAAAAAAAAAAACACTTCTATCGAGTATCAACTATATTTTAGTCAAATAATAATTAAAGTGTTATGAGTAATGTATTGTAATTACTAATTAGCAATTTATTATTGCCTATTGGTAATACTATTATTAAACCTATAATTTGTTCTGTGGGTGGATACGATATCTACTATGAAAAACTTATGAATAAAAATCGTTATTTAAACTTTAGAAAATAATTTTTTCAAACAACGTTATTGATTATGTAGATTAGACTGGAAAGATTAATATTTTAATTAAAATACAAATTGGAAAAAGCTCAAAAAATAATTATAAGAAAACCAAAAGAGTAAAAAGTACCTACCAATTTACCAACACTTATTTTAACAACTTACTTTTTTCCACTTCTTGACATCTTTTTGAGCTTTTCCACTGGCATTTAAGAGTTCACCTAATTCATTCCACAGCCTTTCTCCGTGTTCAAATGTGAACGAATCACTAAATTTATTTTCAATAAGTTTACGGTTGAGAATAAAAAAATCTGCCATGACATTTTTCTGGTTTTCACTTATACGTGCCATTTTTATTGTTTATACGGGTGTTATACAGTATACTGGTTAATAAAAAATAAATCACAACTAAAAACTATTTTTTATAACCGTGAAATCCTGTGACAAAAGTTTAACATGACAGAATATTATTAATCAATAATTATTTATCACGATGATATAAATAAAATATAATAATTCTTTACAACAATAAAAATTATTTTTAGATATTATCATATTTATTCGTTATCAAATTTACATATATTCATGGTGGAAAAATTATTTATTAATTTCTCCAGGTAAAGTGAGTTGTGATATCATAAATGATATTTGTGAGATGAGATCAGTGACTACGGTGGCTTTAAATATTTTCTCATTGCTAAATTATGAAGTGAATGAAATGAGATGGATGAAGTGGTTATGTGTCAAATGACTCACTCTATCAAAACCGCCGGTGTGTTTAAACGTACAACGCTAAATTGTTCATAACGCTAAAAAGAGATTTTTTTAGACGTTTAAATTTGTATAATGTTTAAACACATAAATTGAATAACGTTAAACATTCAATTGATTATTACGTAATACGTTTGATATTCCTGTAACAGTATTAAATTTTTTTAAGCCCTGGATTTTATTGTTTAGGTCAAGAATTTTATTATAAAATTAAATATTTGTAACGAACAACTACGAACTACGTATACCTATACGGCTATACCTATAATGACACAAGTACACAACTAGTGACTAAACTATTATAAACGACATTATTTATGTTGTTAAAACCAACTTTCATGTTTGTGGTTTGTGTCTATAATTTTTGTAAATAAAGTAAATAAATATATTCTACGATTTTTGATTTGTTACTTACTCAATTATTTTAAACCAGGGACTGGAACCGAACCGAAAAGAACCGGTTCTGGAACCCAAAAAATTGAATATTCCGGAACCTAACCGGACCCGAATTTCAATATTTTCAAATAACAGGAACCGGAACCCTTATTTTTAAATTAAAAAAAACGGGTTTTCAATGTTACATTATTTTATTTTTTCCACCGTAACTTATGCTCAATTTATCGGCATAATGCTTTTACCACGGATTAAAATACGTTTGTTTTGATAAACTATTTTTATTTCTGTTTAGAGTTGTTTATTTCTTGTGAAATAATGATAAGTATTGATTATTTGATAGTAAAAAATAAAAATTGACTGTTTTATTTAGTAGGTACCTATATTAGAACTTACAATGTTTTATGTTAATAATTAATAATAGCTATTGGCATTTCTATTTTAATTTATTTTAAGTATTCTAACAATTTAAGTAACTATTATCTATTGGTATTTATATTTATTTACTTCTATTTAAATATTTTAATGTACCTATAGGTATATAAAACATAAAGAATAAATAAAATATATACATTTTTGTAATTGTTTAATACTTGTTTTAACTAGAACCCTAACTTAAACTATAAACTTAATTTTCCATACTGGAACCTGAACCGGAACCCTGAAATAAAAAATTGTAATAAACCGGAACCGGAACCAGAACCTCTTAATAAAATAATTAAGTACTGGAACCGGAACCGAAACCCTTAAAACTAAAAGGTACCAGTCCCTGTTTTAAACCGCAAATATCCTTTATCGTATACTGAACGAATTCACCGAATAGGCAATAGCGTCTTAAGACATAGTCAGTTTTGTGCGAAATCTGAACACTAGAATACAGTGGAGTTCTCAGGAGTCAGGATTCTTCATTGTGGGGTGGGGGAGAATTTGTCACAAAAAATATATTCCCCCACGCCCCCCTGTGAGAACACCCATGCTAGAATAGTCAACTAGATAATATTTCTAGGATATTTTAAATGTGAAAATACTATTAACGAGTATACCTATATTATATTTCTTCTATTATTTCTTACATTTCCAAACATTTGAACCCCAACATTAAATTCGTTTACAAAAAAGAATATTATAGGTAGTATTGTTAACTGTAATATATATATAATGCAAACATAAAAAGTTCATAGTTTTTGTGCGTTACATATTATTATGTTATATTCTAAGATACGCTTCAGCAATTTCATTTTAAAATATGAACATATTATAAATGTACTTGAAATATATAAAAATGGACAGCAGAACATACACACTTTGAGCTCACAATATAAAGGCAGTGTACATGTTTACATTTTCAACATTTTACATTTTTTTTACTAAAACTAGTACATATATTATAAATATACGGTAATTTAAATGCAATATATCTGATCAAACAGATCTTAAAACTAGCTTAAACTGTAAGGAGTTAAACACAAAGTATCGATTTTACATACTTTTAGGCAACACGAACGGTACACAAAGTTTAAAAACTGTATAGTAGGTATAATTAAAAATAGCAAAATGTATTTTCTTCTTGTACAGTTTACACGGAATATAATATACTTGTAGTTATAAATTATAATAAAGATTTTGATAGGTTTATCGGGGTTTTCGAGGTAATGCTATACTCATGAGTATGGCGTTTTAAACTGTACAAATTATCATATAATCGTTTTGATTCTCATCATCATCATCATCATATTATTATTATTATTACACAATGGCAACAACATTGAACATAAGATTGTAACATAAAAAATGGCGTGTGTGTAAAGAGTAAAGACTAAAGAGAGATTACTAAGACATCACGACTAATTTTGAAACTTATTGTAAACAAATAAAAAAAAAAATAAGTAAAAACATTTATATAAATAAAACCAGACTAGTATAAGACATTTATCAAGTTTGTCGGACGCGAACTAAGAGGCGGCCATGACTATACTTGACGAATTAAATAAAATTTTAAAAATAAAGTAAAAAATAATAGTTATTTATTATAATAATAAAGAATGTATAAACACTAGTCTATAACTATGACGAAGGATCTCTTCCACACACTGGCGGCTGTAGTAAGAAAAATATGGAATAA